GGGGTGGTGGGAGAGGTAGTTCTCTCCATGTTTTCTCTTCTCAAACCACATCAATATTTGAAATTGGACACATTGACAAATTGTCGAAATTTAATAAATAATTTTTTTAAAACTTAGAATAGTATATTATTTAAATACCTAATTTTTTTTTTACTTATAGTTGGCCCAAGACTCCCACTGAAGTCCTATACTGTCTCAAATACCTAATAGACTACCAATCATTTTGTGACAGTTACGCCTTTTTTTTTCTAACAAAATGTAAATTTTTGTTCTCATATAAAATTATCATAGAAGAGTATAATTGAAATCAATGATTACAATTCGAATTGTTTGATACAGTATATGCCCAATAAATAAAACACTTCATTATAAAACAACATTAAAACTAAGCAAAAATATAAAGTAATATGTAATATAACTGTAACACAAATAATATGTAATGTAACTATCGCAATAAAATAATTTGACTATAATAAAAATTAATAGACATAAATTTAAAAGCAGTTTACACTAGATTGAGAGATGTCAAGTAACAGGAGTTTGGGTGGTGGAGGAAGTGAGAAGGCATGGAATGTTAATCCACTATTATTATTTTGTTATGCATTATCATTTTGGTAATTTCTGCAAAACTATTTTTCCAATTACTGTAATTAGTATCGATCACTTATCTATTAACTAGAAGTTAGTACAGTATGGCAGAGACCAATGCCGCCCCACATTATGTAGCCTAAGTTGGGAAGTTAGTTACTATGTGGCCCGTTGATGCCCAACATCATTCGTTCACCAAGGAGGTGATTTTTTATAATGAGTGTGCCACGACGGAAGGACAGCGTTTACCAGATATTGTTTTTTACAATTTTTTTTTTTAAATATATAAAACTTTCATTCATTAGCTACAAATTATGATTATTTCATCCTGATAACTTGAAAATTAAAGGTATGGGTTAGATTCATAATTGGTAATTGGTTAACTGTCGTGGATAATGAAGAGAAGAATAGTTGGGGTGCTCAGTCAAAAAAGGAAGGCAAAAAATAAATTATAATATTTATTTTTTACATATGCCGACGTTTCGACCTGAAGTTCAGGCCTTCATCAGGGCTTTCTCCTTAAGTGTCAAGGGGAGAATGTTCAAGGTATGGGTTAATTTTGTCTCCACCATTCTGTAGTTGTAACAGCAGATATTTTCCTGTTCTGATCTGTATGTTGGATACTTAATAAAGGCCACCCCCCACTCCTCCATTATTCCACTCAAATTCTACTCCGCAGAGCAAGATCGAAGTGGCATAGGACTAGATACCCAACAGATAAATCGCATTACACCCAACTGACTAACAAACTGAAATCAGAAATAAGAAAATACAAAATTCAAAATTTACTAAATTTTACTGAAAAACTTACAACCACTGACAAATCATTATGGATGACCACCAAAAAACTTCTTAAGTTTCAAGGCTTTAATCACCCACTACTTACTGATTCCCAAACCTGGTCCAAATCCGACGAAGAAAAAGCCCAACTATTTGGTCAACATCTCTTCCAAACTTTTAACCCACATCCCGATATCCTTAATTCAACTCACATCAATTGTATTGAGGCAGAACTGGATATTCCTCTCCAAATGTCTCTGCCACCCAAAGCATTTCATCCCATGGAAATATCCAACATCATTCAAAAATTGCCTTCCCGTAAAGCTCCTGGACATGATCTAATTACATCCCAGATCCTAAAACTTCTTCCTCGAAAAGCCATCCTATTCCTTACTTACATATATAATGCTGTACTCCGTTCTACATATTTTCCTGATCCTTGGAAACGATCTATTGTTAAAATGATTCACAAACCCAAAAAACCACCAGAATACCCATCCTCTTACCGTCCTATCTCTCTTTTACCCATCATGGGCAAGATCCTAGAAAAACTCATCTTAAAACGCCTGTACCCTATCCTAAATTCTAAACACATAATCCCAGATCACCAATTTGGTTTCCGAACTTCCCATTCCACTATACAGCAATGTCATCGTGTGGTAGACGTAGTATCCTCTGCATTGGAGCGCGGAATGTACTGTACGGGAGTCTTTCTCGACGTTGAACAGGCGTTTGATAGAGTTTGGCACCCGGGACTGCTGTACAAACTCCGAAAATTCCTACCACCTACATACTTCCTCATTATCCGTTCTTACCTTACTGATAGATACTTTAAAGTAAATCACGATAACGCCTATTCATCCCTTTTTTCCCAGTCCGCTGGTGTTCCTCAAGGTAGTATCCTAGGTCCTATCCTCTATACAGTTTATACAGCTGACATCCCAACCCATCCCAACACTGTCATCACCACATATGCCGATGACACATGTATCCTATCAGTAAACAATGACCCAGCAATTGCATCCCAAATGCTTCAATCACACATCATAAATCTAGAAGAATGGTGTCAAAACTGGAGAATTAAAATAAACTCCAATAAATCCCACCAAATTACCTTTACCCTTCGTCGTAAACCAACGACTTCCTGTCCTACAGTTTCCTTTAACAATACTCCACTTATCCCTGTTGAGCAAATCCGATACCTAGGACTCCACCTGGACAAACGACTAACTTGGAATCCTCATACTAGACTGAAACGACAAGAAACTGCTCGACGTTTCCGATTACTTCAGCACTTACTAGACAAACGCTCTAAACTTCCCATTAATTACAAAAGACTCATATACTTGACTATAATAAGACCTATTTGGACTTACGGAGTTGAGCTATGGGGCTCCACTAAACCATCGAATTCCTCTCGCATCCAATCCTTACAATCCAAAATCCTTCGTAAAATCCTCAATGCTCCTTACTTTGTCACTAATAAAATTATCCATAAAGATCTTAATGTTCCTTATGTTTCAGATCTGGCCCAATCCAGATACCTATCCTTCCATAATAAACTTCAGAATCATCCCAACCCTCTCGTTTCTAACCTTGCTTCCTCTTCAATTCCTGATAACCCTCCGAGGCGTCTGAAAAGAAGATGGCCCCGTGATCTCCTAATGTAGTCATATCATTAGAGTGCTACCATTGGGTAGTTACTCAGCAAGTGTATTCATGTCATTATATCAATTATGTCCAAATTTACTTGATGTATTTATGTAATACAGTTGTAAATGTCATAAAGAAATAAAAAAAAAAAAATTCTACTCTTCCACTAATAAAGGCCACTCCCACCCTTCCATTATTCCACTCTCCCACTAATCCTCAACTATGTTATCAGTAATTGACCGAAGTATACATCCTACATTTATAATTTTTTTTTGCTTCTAACTTCATAAAATAAAAAAAGTTAACTTACTTCGCGCTGTCTTTCTCTTTCAATTCCAATAAGTGACCATGCATCAACTGCATCATTTATAGCTGACAATGGTCTAGGTCCAGAAGTATTTCTTCTTCTTACAGCTGTGAAATTTTTTATTTCACCTCTAAATATAGGACAGTTTTAGTAATTAATGATGATAAATTGGTATATACAGTAATGTGAAAAAGTCTTCGAACAAACAAAATTTTTATAAAAATGATAAATGTTTTATCTTCTTAATTGTAAACTTATTTAACCTTCGAAACATTATAGATGTAATATATACAGGGTGTCCTGTAAGTAGGGGAAAATATTTATAGGAGTGATATCAAACCTCAAGAGCTGCAAAAATGTTGATATAAACATTGGCTCAATTTTCGGCAGAAAAATAAGAAATTTGTTTTGTGTCATGTTTTTTGTTGAATAGGAAGCGATAACTAAAGAAATATTAAATTTTAGTAACTAACAATTACTTCACTATAAACTAGACAAAGTTCACTTCAAATCAAAACAGAGTTTGTTATTGTTAAAATCATTTAAAGAGAAATTTTGAGTGGATAAACTAACCTGTTCTATTTTAAAAAAATCATTTATTTGCCATTTTTTTTTTTTTTTTTTTTTTGTCATTCTTTAACTACCGATATCCCACTTTTAGAAAAACTTCCTCGTTTAATAAGCTTTAAGTCCTGACTAATATAAAATCAATTAAACTTTTTACACAACTTGAGATGAATTATATAATAATATAACAGATTCTATCAAAACAGCACTACAACTTAATTATTATAATTCAATGATTGCTTAACTTCCCCTGTGCCCTTGTTATCTAATAGGCCACATACATTTTTCTTTTTGCACTAATCTAATATAAATTGTTACAGCTTAATTTCCTCCATTAATTTTTTTCATGATTTTGTAGCCATTATTTCAAGCATAAAATTTTTTTTTGGAATCATACAACAATTATCCCAATAAAATAAATATTATAATTGCTAATTTATTTATAATTAAGAAATTTATAATAATATTAAAATTGGTACTTCTTAATTAGCCAGGCGGGACGAAACCTCCCTTGTTATCTAATGTTATATCACGTAACCTCCCTTCTTATCTCCTGTAAGCTGTGAGTTGTTTCATAGTTTATTTTTTGTTCCTCGTGTAAACTGTGCGTTATTCCATTGTTTATTTTTGTTCCTCGTGTTAGCTGTGAGTTATTTCATTGTTTCTCATATAAGTTGTGAGTTATTCCATCTTCACAGCTCACAGAGAAGAGACACATTCCGTGCTATTTTAAATAGCATTAAACTATTTTGTCCACCAAAATAAATTAATTGAAAATAAAATTGGAGAAGGAGTTAGTCGAGGGTGCGGTCAAATAAATAAAAAAATTAAAATATATAAATTATTTATATATTTATATAATTATGTTAGGCAAAAATTAAAATAATTTATATATTTTAATTTTTTTATTTATTTGACCGCACCCTCGACTAACTCCTCCTATTATATCAACGGTCAACCATCTCTACATCATTATGATAAAATAAAATTGTTTTATATGTACATATTTTGTTTATATTGTTTCTATTATATGTACATATGTTGTTTATAGTGTTCATATTGTTTCTTTTATATGTACCTATGTTTTTGAAGTGGTTTTTTATTATTTAATTTTTTTTTTTATTATTACATTTATTTTTGTCTATTTAATATATGTTGTAAAATAAAAGTATTTAATCAAACAAGTTTTGTAATTAAATCATTTGTTTTCGTCTATTTAATATATATATATATATATATATATATATATATATATATATATATATATATATATATATATGTTGTAAAATAAAATTATTTTTTATTATTATATTTGTTTTTGTTTACAATTTCAATAATATGAATATAATACAATAAATATGAATACGAATATAGGAATTATCAGTGCCTTATCAGAATTATCGGTGTTGAGGTCATAAACATTGGCAGATAGCAGTCGGTCCCGCACGGCTATTTAAGAAGTACCTAAAAATCTAATTAAAAAAATATTACTTGAATTTGTTATAAGGTATCACAGAATATATTGCTACAGGGATTCTTCTAGTTATTGAAACAATGACAACTCTGTGGCCTCTTAGTTTTTTTCCTTTTGTTAGTTGTGTCAGCTGGAATTCTTTTCTGCTTCCTAAATTATTATTTTAAAATTATTATATATTATCCTGATTACAACAGATTTATATATATATAATATATATTTACCAGTTGTTGAAACCATGCTTTCTGAACTGCTGAAAATACCATGAGATTTATCATCAGGTAGCTGTTGAAAAACTCTTTTTTTATAAAATGTACTGTAGTGTTTTTCACTGCCATATTCACTTCCAACTGTACTTGTCCTATAAAATTTGTTATTCAATTTTTTTAAATTATATTGTTTTTAACAAAAACACTAAAAAAAAAATTTTGACTAATAAAATTTAGATTAATATACCAAAATAAAATTATTTGCTAATACACCTATTTGGTACTTCTCCTATAAATGGTTTATGATTTAAAGTTTTTAAAAACTATACTATTTTAAACACCTCCAGTTTAAATTCTCTATTTCTTGCTAACCACCAAATTAATCAAGTGGATTTTAAATCTAGTCAGGTAAAACTTTATTTTATTTGTTACTCCTCCAATTTAATAATTAGAGATTAGAGTGGCACAGTTTTTTGCAACTTTATGAGCAACTTGAGTCAATTTCAATTTGATTCTAGGCTATAAATTTGACTTCTATTTTGTGATGAATCATATAACAAATCTTGACCTTTCTACTATACCATTTCCAGTTAAGAACAAACCATCTTCCCTGCTCTAGCTGAAATATGATAGTTGTAAATTTGAATAAACAACAACAACAGTATCACTCTTAGTTTTGCTCCCTAATGTTTGATTACTTTTGTATTTGTTCAGATCAGTATTTAAACTGACTATATACCAGCAGACTTGTTTAAAAAAACATAAATCAATTAAAATAATTTATTTAGCCTCTACCTCTGTCATTTTTTTCTTTTCTCTCCTTCGTCATCTTTTAGGCTTTGTTTTCCCAGGGCCAGGGAATTATGCCAGAGTTAAAAGTCCTTCCAGCACCGGGATTTGAACTCGTTATCTTTGGGTTATCATCTGTTTGCTGGGCAACCTGTATTTTACACAAATGTTAGTCGGCTCGGCCACCCCGGCCTCATCCCTAATGGTCATTAGTGTATTATCTCAATTTTATATTCTGTGATAAAAATTTATTTTTTTAAAAAATATATGAACAGTTTTTCTGGTTCTTTTTCCTCATCCTACAGAGTTTCTTCCATTTGCATTCCCATGTGAAGGTTTTTCTTTGAGCAATGTAGTTAGTACACTAAAATAGTATATGCTTCACTGTTCTGGTTACTTGGCAATGGGTGCAAGTTGGAGTTTCTAATCCTCGCTGGAGGTATCCATGAGAAAACTTGCAATGTCCAATTCGTAGATGACAGAGTATCATTTTTTTCCTATCTATATAACTGACAACCAGTTGTCCTAAGGTAACGGGGCCTTTCCTACTGGGTCAATCACATGTAGTGGAGTACAAACGATTCAAAGAATGTCTGTGAACAGTCTCAGAAATGGACAGTCTCTACGGAAATGTCCTGGCATGTTAAGGGATATCAGATTTGCTACATGGAACATACATACTCTCTATGGAAAGGAAGTGGAAATTGTAAAGTAGATGGAATCCTACCAAATTGGCATCCTAGGGGTATGCAAAATCAGAAAGAAGGGATCTAATGAAACACAATTTGACAAAGGATAAATTCTCTATTCAAGAGTACCACTGGGTAACCGCGCAAAGGAGGGAGTTGGACTTATCTTTAAGGATGAGCTTTTTCAGAAAGTTCAAGATTGGGAACCAGTAAACTCTAGGATAATATCTGCCAATGTCATTCTCTCGGTGGGAAAGTTTACTCTGGTACAGGTCTATACACCAACTGAGGACTCATGGGTCATGGAAGCGAAGCAATTCTACAGTGACCTTGCTCGTGTAATCGAAAAATGTAGGAACAGAAATTTAATAGTCATGGGAGAGCTCAATACGAGGACCAGAATAGACCACAGATTCACGGGTTACCATACCTCGAGGGGAGAGAAAGATCTTGTCATCAGCAACTCTTTTTATCCACATAAACGTTCTCAGCGCTGAAAAGATGCGTAAATGGTATGATAAAGTACTTTCTTTACACCGAGGAAATAAGGAGCTATTTTACAGATATTAAATTGGAAATGATTGATTTAAATTTGAAATGATCACATGCTTCTGATTGCCGATACCAGAATTCCTTTCATGAAGAAGCCTCAAGTCAAAGTCTTTGAAAGGATCAAAATTCCTGGGTATCCTTTGGCTGGGCCTGAAAGCAGCAATATTGGAATCTGCGACAAAACTGTGTGGTGTGAAGAAGGTTTCGGCTAAATGGAAGCATTCAGACTGGTGGAGTAAGGAACTTAGAATTGTCAAAAGGAGAAGAAAAACATTTGGAAAACTTTTTGTAAATTAAGAAGCTGAAGCAACTATTAGCTCTAAGTGAATGGCAGTGAGAGAAGCAAAAAGAAAAGCATGGTTGGAGTTTGGTTGACCTCTCAATAATGACCATAAGGAAAATATCAAGCTCTTCTGGAGGAAAATCAAGACTCTTAGAGGCAGGAAGCCCAAACATTAAGAATAAGAAAATAGCTCTGTTTTTCAGTACATATTACTGCAATTGCTTCATGTCGAATAGTATATTTAAGTGTCTCTAATAGGAAAACATTAATACCAGGTGGTCATCCAGAAGTTGAGGAATCTCTTTATATGTGATTTTTGCAGCGGAGATCACGAGGGTATCCAATATAGGATATACCAGCTGCAAAGTCAAAGTTTTTCTTTAACATTTTTTTAGATGGATAACAAAGCAGATTTTAATGTCAGTAGGTTGGCTTGATAATTTCAAAAGTAGGTATCAAATACCGTTTTTTATTTCATTGGAAAATTTCTTTACACCCATTTTATTTTTCATTACAGACAAGACATAAAAACGCGACAAAGGCATTTAATACTTGCTTTGAGTGGGTGAATGGATACAACGTTGACTTTCGAAACCTGGTACTTTTAATGAATTGGCAAGATTTGGCGTTTTCTTTAGCAACAAAATCATAAACTCAGACTACATTATATAATCATTTTCAGAAATTTGTTTTTGTTTGCAACATGTTTATGTTTAACTGATAATATATATATTCGTTATCTTGTGCAATTTTTCCATCATTTTATATTTAATCATTGGTAATCCGAGCAGGTCATGCAATCTATGTGTTCGGATTATTATTGAAATAAAATTTAAAATATTGATAGACTTATAAACTTATGAATAATATAAATTTACGTATTGACCGTGATGGGTAGAAGGGCCAATCTGCAATTTAGGTCGTAGGGCAATCTTGTTATTTTTTTTACATCCTAACCTGAAGCTATAAGGTTCAACCTGCAAACCTAAAAATTCTAAATAATATAAGAGTAAATTCATCAATATCAAAACACGAAAAATCTAAAATAATAACAGTAAGAATCTTAGAAACACGTGGGTGATTCTATGAAAAGTGACATTTGCTTGTCATAAGCCACTTCAGTGGCTTTAGATAAAAAATAAATATTATTAAATATAAAATTGTAGAACTTCATATTACTTATTTCAAACTTCAGTGGCTTTAGATAAAAAATAAATAATATTAAATATAAAATTGTAGAATTTCATATTACTTATTTTAAACCATTCATACTGGCCAAGTATCTCTAATTCATCATGACAGCTAATAACTATCTATTCTGATAGCCGGTCGGTTCTTCAAGCTTTAGAATCTCTCAAGACAACCTCTACTCTCTTCAGAGAGGGTAGAAAAGCCGTTGCCAGAAGAAAGAGGGTGCAGCTGACTTGGGTTCCTTGTCACACATGGAGCTCCAGTAATGAGGAAGCAGAAGAACTAGCTAGAAATGGAGCGGAGGTTCCCCTAATTGCGCCAGAACCTGCATTAGGCATCTCTAATAGATATCAATGCAAAGAAGTGCTTGATTAGAAGGAAGCTGATAAGGAATGGAAGAATGGCGTGGGCCCAAGGCAAGCTAAGCAATTCATTAAAAAACTCTCACTCACCATAACTAAGTGGCTACTTGGTTTGAACAAAATATACTTAACTATGGATCCCTGATAGGGCATTACAGACTTAAAAGGTATCTAAAGATCTGCAAATCTTTAAAGATATGGGACAGTACAGGACACAACCTGCCATTTGTGCACGAATTCACTAGAAACTGTCCTATACTATCTAGCAGAATGCGAACGCTTATGTATAACATTGTAGGTTCTGATAGAATCTTAGAACAGAAGGTTTCCTCCATCGAATGGCCACCTCTTTTGAATTACATTGGGAAAAACAAATGGTTCAAGATGGAGAATAAATAGACACCATAGTAATAAATAATCTTATTTGGGTTGGTAAACAGGAACAGTTAGCCCACTAGCCAGATTCATTCCCCCCCTCCCCTCTTTATCAGTACTAGTAGTGTTTTATGTTTTTTATTTTTTAAAGATTCTCCTTTTCCCTACAAACAGTAGGAAATTCAGGATTTAAATTTGGGGAGCTGATTTATTTATGTTTTTTTTTACAGAAACAAAAATGCTTTTAGGAAAAATATTTTTTCTTGTCATGTGCATTCATTTATTAGCTTAGATAGTAATTTGGTGCTAATGTACAAATCATTCCATGTTTGTGAATGGCACAAGATCTCATTATCATACCATAAACAGAATCTTGGAAATGGCCGAGATGGTCGTGGGTCAATGTATATGGAAGGAACCAAACTGTCTGGTGAGACCCAGACTTTAACTGGTAAGGACTGTTGGGATTCCTTTATCCCATTTGATAGAGCATATGGAGCAAGAGTCGAAATCAGCAATGTGATTAAAGGTAATTAAGGTCCCAATTTTAACTGAAAAGGACCAGCAGAGTTTCCTTAAGTCATAAATCCTGATCTAAATAAAGGGAGGTATAATGTGAATAAACAAACCCTCACTATTCTCAAAATCGCATTTACCTCATTATCATGAGATCTTAGGTAATCATCCAAGTTTTGGACAGGCTTTGACATCCTCAATAAGCTATTTAGACTGATCAAGATTGAATTAGGAGGACGAAGATTAAAAATTTTCTCAATCGCAATACTTACCCTTACTATATATTACATATATACGTAAGTGAAAGTAAAAAGGAAACAATGCCTAAGATGGATATATGATGTAGAGGAAGATCTCTTGACAATGAGAGTGAGGACATTGTGCTGAAAGTCAGTGGATACACAGGAGTTGGAAGATTATGATGGCTAAGCGTGTTAGAGGATTACCCATTTTAACATTCTTAACTCTGTACTCCTTAAATAGCCAGTTGGGTCCGACTGCTATCTGCCAATGTTTATAATCTTAACACTGATAATTCCTATCTTCGTATTCATATTTATTGTATTATATTCATATTATTGAAATTGTAAACAAAAACAAAAACAAATGTAATAACAAATATATATATATATTAAATAGACGACATATATAATTCCTATATATATTAAATAGACGAAAAGAAATGTAATAATAATAAAACAGTTTGATTAAACACTTTTATTTTATAACATATATATTAAATAGAAGAAAACAAATGTAATAATAACAAAACAATTATCCCAACGTCAAAACAATTATCCCAAAACAAAATGTAATAATAAAAAAATATACATATTAAATAGACGACATATATAATTCCTATATATATTAAATAGACGAAAAGAAATGTAACAATAACAAAACAGGTTGATTAAATACTTTTATTTTACAACATATATATTAAATAGACGAAAAGAAATGTAATAACAACAAAACTATTATCCCGGCGTCTTGAAAATATTTGATATCCTCTTCTTCTGAAGATGGCAATACCCACAATGTAATATAATTTGACACATCCATAATTTGAGGAAAATCACACAAATGGAACAAAAATGAACTATAACTCGAAATAAGCAATAACTCGAGATAAGAGGGGAGATTATGTGATGTAACATTAGATAACAAGGGAGTTTTGTCCCGACCAGCTATTTAAGAAGTACCCTTAATTCTAGTGATGCCAATTCAAATCTGGTCTGGGCAGGTTGAACTTTATTTTGCAACAGACCTATTGAATGAATTTCGATCTTCCTTTTATGGTTAGAATAGATTCTGTTGTACCTCTAGAACAAGCCTCCTCCCATATACCAAAAATGATGAGGTAGAGGAGTCATGAAGAAATGAAAGATAGGAGTTGGAAAAAGTGACGTAGGTGCCACGATTGGAGTGCAAAATAATTAGTACTGTTTAGAAGTCAATGTTTTTTGACCTCCTCATGAAATTCATTTCTTTTTTTTAGCATTAAGTATGAAACAAAAACCTAAAGAAATTAAGTTGGTACCAGAAAAAAACCATCTTTTTTACTGTAAAATATTAGAAATTCATAGAATCATCCACCAATAAAATGCAGATTGGCGCTTCTTGCACAATCATTGTAAATATAAATGAATGTGTATGTATGTATAAATATTTGTGTGTATATTTTTATATAGAAGTATGTACTTTATATATATATATATGTACAGGGTGTTATATAAGTAAAAAAAAATATTTAAAGGAATATGATAGCAGCTGCTTTTGGAAGTAATATTGAAGCATTCAGAAATTGAAGGAAGAAAATTCTACTTCCTTGGGATAGAACTTTTTTTCTGAAGAAACATTTATAATGGATCTGATATTTTATTCCGGAAACAACCATATTGAGGCAAATTAAAGTCTTGTTGCGGGAAGACAAGAATAACTTATTATAATTAATCATCATTTCAGAAAAAATTAAATTTACCAATTGCTTGACTTATTTTATTATTATATTATGACTAAAAATAAAAAGGTAGTTTGAGGTGGCAGAATATCAAATCACATTTTTTTTTTTTTTTTTGTATAACCTGCAGTGAATTTAAACTTATTCTGGTGCTAGTTCAAGAGAGTTCCAAACGTATTTGGCCTGATTCACAATCACTTCAGTC